CCCTGCGCGCCCCGCCCCTGCGCGCCCCGCCCCTGTGCGCCCCGCCCCTGCGCGGTCATCGCCTCTTGGGTCCATCGTCACTGCCACTCGGGGCTTTTTTGATGTCCGATGTGAGTGCTTGCTCCCAGCAGCATCTATTTGCCTCTGACGTCAAAAGGGAATTGTAGGGGCTAAAGCACATTGTCACTGACCTGGCTGCTGAGCGTTGGCCCCCGGAGGAGCCTGGGGTGGCGCCTGTGCCCCGGAAGGTAAGCCCGGTGTCTGGAGTGGAGCTGGTGGCTATAGCCCTGGGTGCTGCTGGGGCAGAGCGGACCGGGCTCCGTGGACGTGGTGGAGCTGGCACAGCTCGTGGGGGCAGCGCCCTTCCAGGCCCGCACAGCCGCACGGCACCGGCACAGCTCAGGCGCCTGGCAGAACAGTGGTGTGGCGGTTAAGGGCAGGGGACGCCCAGGTGGACATGTCCCACCAGGCCAGGCTCGTGCCTGACTCCTGCACCAGGGCTGCCTGTGTGTGGTGTACACACAGGCCCTGCCTCGGCCAAAACACTAGCCCTGGTGGTGCTGGCCAGACCTCCCACCCAAGACGCAGAGACCGAGGGAGACGGGCAGCCCAGGCCTGTGGCCTGGGCCAGAGGGCAGTGGAGCCCAGCGGTCTCTTGGCGAAAGCGCCCGCGGTGAGGGGTGTGCGCACGGCCGCCGTGGAGCCAGTGCCTCAGCCGCAGCTGCTGCTCTCCTGACCCTTATGTTAACTTGAGCCCTATCTAGACTTTGTGCATTTACACACACATGCACACACCTGCATGTGTGCACACACTCACACATACATGTGCTTGCACACTCAACACATGCAAGTGCTCACACTCACACATGCACACATATGCATAGTCCCACACACACCCACTCACCTATATGCATGCCCAGACTCATCTGTATGCATGCACTCACTCACCTACACACATGCACACACATACACGCATGCACTCACACACCTACACGCACACACACATATATGCGTACTCACACTCACCTACATGCATGCACTCACACTCACCTACACACGCACACACATACATGCATGCACTCACACATGCACTCACACACCTACACACACACACATACATGCATGTACTCACACTCACCTACACACATGCACACACACTCACACATGTACCCACACTCACCTACACATATTCACTCACACTCACCTACACACATGCACACACAGTTACCTACATGCACACACACGTGCACATGCATACACCCCTTCCTGACAGCCGCCTCCCTAGGCCACCAGGAGCTGGGTGCCGTCAGACATTGAGAGGGGACCCGGCCCCTCTCCTCCCCCAGAGGCCAGAGGCGGAGCGCAGTGAGTGAGAGCGCAGGAGCACGTGGCTCGTGACGGACAGGACCAGGCGCCGCCCACCGTCCCGCCCAGTCCCGCCCAGTCCCGCCCAGTCCCTTCCAGTGCCAGTGAGCCGTTGCCAGACCCCTGGCGCTCCGTGGCCTGCGGGGTGAGGGGAAGGCCCTGCCTTCTGTCTGATTGGCGCGGGGAGGCGAGACTCCCAGTGCGCTCTGCTCCGTGACTGCCACGCTGGGTGGGCCACTTCCAGAAACCCCTGAGGGACCCCTTGACTGAACGGGATGCCCAGGAGTGACACGCAGGGGTGACGTAGCTCTTCTTGCTGCAGACCCTGTGGGCGTCATTGCGTGAGAGGCGCGTGCGTGAGCGCTGGGAGGCGTGCTTTCCCCAAGGAGCCGGAGCTGGCCAGCCTTTCCGTCAAGCGGAGCCGCTGGCCCCCCGGACACCCCGGAGGGGACGGCCCCGAGCCGGCAGCAGGGACCCGGCGTGAGGGACGGGGCTGGTTTGCGAGCTGCAGAGCCCGCTCCCGGGGAGGCAGCTGGGGCTGCGGGTGCTGAGGCCATGACCCGGCCGGCCCAGGGCTCTCCTTCCACCGCAGACCCCGGCAGGGCCTGCGTGCTGCCCCGGCCCCCAGGTTCGAGCGGCCCTGAGGCTGCAGGGAGTGGGCCCCGTGCCCACCTTGTCCCAAACTGTGGCCCACGGGGAGTGGGCAGCCCGCGCCCCGCCGGGTGGGAGGCCTGCTGTGGGTGGTGGCCAGCGAGGCACCCGCCGCCCCAGCCATGAGCACAGCCGCGACTCCGTCCTCCCTGAGCCCCCGGAGGCGGGGACACCGCAGGGCTCCATCTGACGCAGGCAGCACAGGCGCTGTCACATGCGGGCGGCGTCTGCAGGCGCCGGTGGAGGAGACAGTGACCCGCCCCAAATAAATCACCGCTGTGCGACTTGTCTGTGGCAGTGAGATTCAGGCTGAAAAAGTCGCAGCGCCGGCCGTAGGTCAGCGAAGTGCTGCCCCAAGAAGCCACGTGCTCCCGCCACGCAGGGCGGGCACGGCCTAGGGGGCGGCAGCCTTCGTGCGGGACCTAGCGCGGGGACCCACAGGGCGCATAGGAACCGAGCGGCAGCCCCGCCCCCCGCCGGGCCCCTGCCTCGCGCTCGCCCCTTTATCCCATCTCCAAAAGCGGGCCGCTCTCGGCCGATCCCCAGAATTTCGAGGGTAACGAATCAAAGGCACGAAAGCTGAACCCTTAAGCTGACGGGTTCTGAGCTTTGACGCCTTTTGATCGAAGCGCAGAGGTTCTGCGTTCGCGTCGCCAGGCGGTCGCGCTCCGTGCCGGGCGCGTGCTCGCCGCGCGCCTCGTGCGACGTGCGCACACACTTGTGCGTTGCAGATCACCACCATGGAGACCAACCTGAAGACGATCGAAGAGGAGAACAAGGCGATCGAGCAGCAGAACGAGTCCCTGCTCCACGAGCTGGCCAACCTGAGCCAGTCCCTGATCCACAGCCTGGCCAACATCCAGCTGCCGCACATGGTAAGTGCCGGCGCGGGCCGCGGCGCTGGCGGCCCGCCCAGGGCGCGCCGTGCTGCACCCTGGTTCTCAGACTTCGTGGTTAGCCCCCCAAAACCATGGCGTTAGCTGCTCCGAGCACCGGTGGGGCCCGCCCTGCGCACCCATAGATTAAGATCGCTCTGCGCAGGCCTGTTAGAGGTGAAGCAGAGGCGGCCTGCGGGGCGAGCGGCACGATACGGTGATACTGTTTTATGCTGATGTGAATATCCTATTAAGAAAGTAAAAGCTGTGTATGAACTACTATTTAATATCTCGTAGGACCCAATCAATGAACAAAATTTTGATGCATACGTGACTACTTTGACGGACATGTATACAAATCAAGATCGTTATCAGAGCCCAGAAAATAAAGCCCTACTGGAAAATATAAAGCAGGCTGTGAGAGGAATTCAGGTCTGAACAGCTGCTATAGTGACCATAGAGACGGAGCCTTGCTTAGAAGGACGCCTCTCGCCTGGCGCTGCCACCGTCCCGGAAAGCGCTCCATACTCACCTGTCTGAAACAGTGTTACGCTTACGAGACTTCACAATGATTTCGTGTCTTGCTTTAAAGATAGTACCTGCAGAATAGTTTTTGAATACATTCACATTTTGTACGTTTTCATATAAGCCGACATAGTGTGATATGCCATGTAATGTTTATAGCTGCTAATGTATGCACATTCGGGGGTATATATATATTTCTGAAGAGGTAAGCTGATCAAAACAGAGTGTAAATTCTTTTTAATGCTTTAGTGATTAAATGTTTTAGTATTTTGAACTGAAATGGACAGAAAGAAAAACAGCTTTGAATGATCACGCGGTGGCCCCTGCGGCCACCTCTTAGACATTATCATTTTGCCTCATGTTAGAGGATTTTATGGAATTTAAGAAATACATTTTGTGTGCATATTGTTTCATAGCAAGAATTGGTTGCAAAAAAAAATGCTTTATTTTTGAACAATGCTTGGAAATATTATGTGATTTTTCTGTTTGTTTGTTTTAGGAGGATGGTGTTTGGTGGGGGCAATAAATGAGTTTTTTTGCATTCCAAGGAAATGGCATATGGATTAACTGTAAGAAATGAGATAAGTAATTTATTGTAAGACAACATCAAGCCATGGAAACTTGGCAGAAGATTCAAAGCAGCTTAACAGCACCTTTAAGTTAACTCCTGAGCGTTGCATGGTGACTCTGGGAGCTGCGGCTGAGACGGGGCGTGGGAGAGGCGGACGGCCTGACGACCTTCTCTCGCTTCCGATAAACTCTGGAGCCACCTTCTCCTCCCCGCCAGGAGTGTCCTGGTCCTCCGGACTGTCTGTTATTGCGATGCGGTTTATCCGACAGAATCCGTGGGTTTTGATTTGAGCTCAAAGGTACCCTGAGAGCATTTGTTTCCCCTTTCCACTTAGAAACTGTCATTACTGTTGTTGCTGTTGTTGCTGTTTTACCGTTGGGGAATGAAGGGAAATGGTTTGTGAGTCTTCGCGTTACTGGACCGAATTTCCTGCCGGATGGGGTGGAAAGCTGCTCAGTGAACCCCTCCCCCGCCCCCGCCTCCGGCTTCCAGCGAGCCCCGCTCCCGCCCAGAGCACACGGCGCAACGACCCTGGTGTCCCGCCTTCCGCTGGAGACCGGTTGCCTAGCCTTGATGTCTGAGCTGTCACGGCCTAGTCTAAGAATGAATGCAATCAGATTTTAAGAGTAACTAGTATACTTCAGCACTTTTCTCTCCACGAGATCGTCGCAGACTGGTCTGTCCCCGGGAGGCTGGCTGCTCTGCCCGCTGGCGGCACCGTGTGCGAGGGTCCACGTCCACCGTCGGTCCTGCCCTCCCGAGCACTCCCGCCGACGTGTCATGTTCTCTGGTGTTGACTTGATTTCCATGTCACAGCGCCTCTTCCTTCCATGTCTTGATGTTATGCAGGAAGTACAGACGTACTTTAAAATTTTGTTATGAAAAAAAAAGATGGGTTTTGTAAAAATTTAAAAAATATTTTTAGCAGAACAGGACTTACAGGGTCATTGTCCCCACAACGTGCCAGTCGACTATTTGCACTCACCTTGTCCTCTGCATCCGCACGGAGGCGTGCGAGCCTCGACGCTGACCCCGCGGGACCGGAGCAGGCCCCCCGGCCGGCC